TGAAATTCTGTGTCTGTACCATGTCCATATCAGATCCACAGCTATAGCTCAACTATTCAAGTGTGACTCATCATGGTGAAAAGTAAAATCTAATCTTTTCTATGATATTTAGAAGACCATGGGATAAAATGTCATTTAGTTGTATTTGATTAAAAGAGCTAACATAAGATAAGAAATGTTCATTTTCTTATTTCAAATGTAAAGGAGACTGATCAGCAAATAAAAACATGGTGCTATAGAGTTATATAATTACAGATCATTATTAATGTTTTGAAAAAGTTCTGTTCATTAATGAATCAACTGCTAATATTAGGAATACACTGACGTTAAATGACTTAGAAGTTGGACATCTTGTGACTATTTTATGTGATCCTATCATAATGAGTCTTACATCTTGAATTCATATGCACAAATGAGTGTTGCAATCTTTATCATAGTTACATTGGGAGACTGAGCTCTTTTTTCATATCACATCATTAAATATACACTAAACACCTACTACTGTGCACTGATGCTACCATATTGAATTGGAGGCAGTGTTGGAGAATTATCGTGATGAATCCTCTGCCTCAAATGCTAGTTTTTATTTTCTTTAAATCACCTTCATTTTGATTTTGATCCCCAGTCTCCCTGTGCTGAGAAGCCATCAATTTCACTTATCCCCCAGACTCCGCACACCATCCAGAGCTATGCAGAGACCCTGCACCTTCTTACTCACCTCATGTCACATTTAATTTCTCCTAAGATGCCTTTTGTTTTAACCTTTGTAGACCCTCTGGGACCAAAGGTTCTGCTTCTTCCGTGCCATAGAGAGGCATGGAAATCTCTGGTAACATTGGGAAGCCTGTGATTGAGGGTCCTTCCCCTTCAGTCCATCATCTAGCCAGCTGCTCTGAGATCTTACCACCTGTCAGTCACTTTATTGGTCCTGCGCCTTTCTGGAATTTGTTCATCTTCTCCGTCTCTCCTCTACTCAATTTCAAAGAAGTCTCTCATCTCTTTTCCTTAAAGAAACCACCTACCCAGGGTAACTAGCATTATCTCTTTCTGAACTGTGTTTTTGTTTGTAACTAAAAGATACAAAAGTGGTTGTTGGGCTTACCTGGTGGCGCAGTGGTTGAGAGTCTGCCTGCCGATGCAGGGGACACGGATTCGTGCCCCGGTCCGGGAAGATCCCACATGCCGCGGAGCGGCTGGGCCCGTGAGCCATGGCCGCTGAGCCTGCGCGTCCGGAGTCTGTGCTCCGCAACGGGAGAGGCCACAACAGTCAGGGGCCCGCGTACCGCAAAAACAAACAAAAAACAAACAAAGAAGCAAAAGTGGTTGTCTTCATATGATAGGAAAGATAGAAAGTTTTTTCTTTCGTCAATACAAAAATCCTCAAAGAACGTACATTCTATAGCTCTAGATACCTAGGCATCTTCTTGAAACAGAAGAGGAACAGAGAGAGGAAGAGGGAGAAAGAGAGAGAGATAAAGATACAGAAAGATGGCTTTTCAAGAGCCTTAATTCCAGTGGGAATGGGTCATCTATGAAACACTAAACTTTTGTTGTATAATTTTTGTAAAGCCATCTCTGCCATGATTCTTTCTTATACCATCCCTATTTTTTCTTATTTATTGTTTCACTCCCTCCCTCCCTCCCTTCTTTATTTTTTTTTTCAGAAAAATCACAGAATTCAGAGTTGGTGAGACCTTGTTTAGAATTCTCTTTCCCTCACTTACTATTAATATGATCTTAAGTCACATTATCTTTCTGAACCTGAGTTTTTTATTTGTAAAAATGGGGATAATGCCACTTTTCCATACTCTGTTACAGAGTATTTGTTAGACCAAGTAGGAAAACATTAATGCTTGGAAAGTCATAAAGCAGTGTGCAGATATAGACTCTGTTGACTTAATGCAGAGTCAGTGGGAGAAAGAACAGGGGTTTTAGAACCAGGTACACCTGTATTCAATTCTTACATTTGCCATTTACTAGCTTAGTGTAATTTTAGTTTCTGTGTATGTAAAATTTACTAACACCTACTTCATTGTTTTAAGGAAGAAATAAGATAACCTTTATAAATATCTGAGGTAAACAAGGGTACATTTTATCCCCATTTCTTAGATAAAGCAGTTGAATCTCAGAGAGTTAAAATGATTTGGCCAGGGTTATAAAGGTGATGAGAGAAATTACCAGAAAAAACTCTTGGTATCATATGGGTTAGGCTTTTTAGATAAATTACATCAGGTAATTTCAAAGAAAGAATTCCATATATGTTTGGAGCATAAGATAAACATTTGCATATATACATAGTTGAGATTCATAAAAGGATTATTTTGAAACATTCAGTTATGTTGTTCTTGTGCATTTGTTAAGCAAAAAAATCATCCAGTCGCCTTATTTTATTATCAAGTTTTACAAATTAAAAAATGTGGTCTTATGTCAAGTTAGTGATCCAGGAGAGTGGAAAAACTAATTGGCTCCCTTTTCAATTGTAGTGCTGGGTGACTCATAAGGCCTAGATGTCACTTACTATATTTGATGGACAGTGTACATTAGAATTTTTTTGTTTTGTTTTGTTTTGTTTTGCGGTACGCGGGCCTTTCACTGTTGTTGCCTCTCCCGTTGCGGAGCATAGGCTTCGGACGCGCAGGCTCAGCGGCCATGGCTTACGGGCCTAGCCGCTCCGCGGCATGTGGGATCTTCCCAGACCGGGGCACGAACCCGTGTACCCTGCATCGGCAGGCGGACTCTCAACCACTGCGCCACCAGGGAAGCCCCATTAGAATTTTAAAAATGGAAGTCGATGGCTCCAATCACCTATTAACCCAGGACATATTGTGGGGTTCAGTTCTAGTTTCATAAATCCCATTTGTCTCCCACTTTTTGCTTTGTTTTACACTTGACTGGTAATAATAGATTATTTTTTTCCTGTGGAAACTTCCTTGATTGTCAGTACATCTCCAAGGGCATAATCATGATATATTAAAAAAATAATCATGTAAATTATAATCATCTCACATTTTCCAGAATATTTTTAATCATAAGGATTTTTTCTTTTTAAATATTGATTGGGACTTTCCTGGCTTGGGATAAGGTAATCATATGCAAATTATTTTATTTGATATATTCTTAGTTTAAATCCAGGGCTATATAAGACTTGATATTGGGGCATAATAAGAAAGTGGTATATACTTTTGCCTGGAAAAGTTCTTTGTTTAAGTCATGCTAAACCTCTAGCAATTTTAAAACTGAGGCAAGCTATGGTAGAAGATTTTTACCCTCATAGATGCATAAAGTAAGTATACAGACTGGGAGAGGAAATTATTCAATCTTGAGATTAAATATGTACTCCTAACAGCCATTCCAATAATAAGACTTTAAGTGTTGTTTTAAAGTTACTGTTTAAAAAGATGAAAAATATATGTAGCCATACCTTTTGTGCTGACAGTGATAGAAGTGCAAGGTTAAGTTATACTAAAAAATTTATGTTAAGAAGCAGTGCTTGTACCATTTTTTTTAACCACATTTACATCTTATATTTTACATCCCTCCTCTTCTCAATTTTGATCAGAAGATTTCCTCCATATTATTCTTTGAATAGTAGGCTAACTTTTCTGAGTACATGATCAGAGGACAGGACTCAGCATGGTAGCTTATAGTCAAAAAAAAAAAAAAAATCAAAGCATAATTGTGCCTTGTCTCTGACCACTCTCCCTGAAATAAGTTGTAACATTCAGGGCAGGGAAATGTTCAAATCCATTACAGGAATTTCCTTTGTGCAATGTACACATGAACTTTTAAAAAGTTATATGTTTAAATATTTTTAACAGTCTGACTTATTGTGTATGTTATTTGTCACAGTATTCAGTATTATTGGAATAATTGTTTTTATTTTCATCATACCAGTGAGGCTTATTCAGAGAGCACATTAAACTAAGAGCGTAACTTTGAGAGGATGTGCTGAGTGTCTTGACTTCCAAACCAACTACAATCAACTACCTTGTTTACATTTACGTTTCTTATGGTCCAGGTCTAGTTTCTTGCCCAACGGCCAGCTGGCTTTTTTTTTTTTTTTAAGTGGGCCAGCATTGTTTTCTTAAGTGTGGCCAAATAAAATAGCTAAGAAATAGATTCAGATCCAATTAACTTCATTGTGTATCTTCAATGATCCAAGCATTTAAACATATGTACTCCCATACCTTGTATCCTGTTATCCTGGCAAATCTTTTACTACCAAAAGTGTTTTGGTTTAGATGAGAAATTATATGTCACCTTACCAATTAGGCAGGTATTGGGGTATATTCTTCTAGACCTTCTTTTTCTTTTTAAACTCTGGAGAAATCTAAAAACCCTGGAATTTTAAATGACTTTTCCAAAGCTATGTAGCTACTTGGTGGCAAGGCTATAATTTATCCCAGGTGTTTTGACTTAAGCCCTGGGCTTTTTCAGGTCTGATTTGTTAATTAAATATTTGTCCTATGACTACTGTTAGGTATAATCTCTTTCTCTCTCTCTCGCTCGCTCGCTCTCTCTCTCGCTCTCTCGCTCTCTCTGTATTCTTGAATATTTTTATGTTTAATATAAAGCATTTAGAGAACTTGAGATAAAGTGAGCCACACCAATTGTAAGCTGTCTCCAAATGATGAGAAATTGTTGGAAATATCATTTTTAGTCAGGTGCTTGAAAGCAGTAAAAAGCTAGTAGCACAACACTGTGGCTAGTTTGAACTTATGGAGGGAAATGCAAATTTGCCTTGAATTGGCCAGCCTGTGACAAAGATTATCATTTTGCTGTTACTCTGACAAATTCTTTTGGACTGATCACTCATAATTGATCCAGACCTCATGTACAACAAATTGAACTCTAGGCAAAAAAAAAAAAAAAAAAAAGTAATTTGTTTTTCTATTTGGTATCAGCTCTGAAAAGCATTATGTGTGTCTAGAAATAAGGTAGCTGGCAAGAATAAACTTTGCTCATGCTAAGTGGTAATTTTCTTTTTCTGTGTTGGCTAGTTTTTTCTAGATATGACATTTGGTTCAGGAGGACACACAAGAGCCATTCTACAGAAGGAGTCAGATATTACTCTGTATGCCTTAGACAGAGACCCAACAGCTTATGCAATAGCTGAACAGCTTTCAGAATTGTACCCGTAAGTAATACACTTGTATAGTTACTTAATTTTGTTGCTATGTTTTATGGAGCTTAGTTTACCATCTTGGAATTTGTTCTCCCTTGTATGATACTATACGTCACTCCACTAAGTATTTCCTCCCTTTTTATCCAGAAAGAATTGATGTAAATGATATTTTTAGAATCACTCAAAATAATGATGTTACTGCATTTATCCTTTGTAAGTAAGTATAAATACAAAAACTTATTTTTGGTTAAAATTTGAAAATGTGTTGAAATCCATCCATGAATAGTATTTTGACAAATAACCCATACTTTAAAAACATTTTTAAAGTACTTTATGAGTTACAGTTTCTCAGAATTTAGTGGAGTAAATACATATGTAAAAATTCTGTAGAATTCTGTAGAATTCATGAAACAATGATGCAATTGCTTTCTTTGAAATCTTTCTGAAATTCATAAGTAAATGTAGAGCACTCTATCCATTTATCAGAATTAGTGAGCATTTACTAGAGAACTTTTAAAAAATATAAAGTTATTGTCTTCATGAGTTGTAAAAGCATCTTCCTTTAGAGAAAAAATTTTGAATTAATGAGTTATGTCCATGTGCTATGTTGTTTAGAACACACCAGCCTGAAAAAGAAAAATATCTTGGAATTAAGATGGCTATCTCCAAATATGTAAAGGGCTATTTTCTGTAATGGGGAATTGTTCTACTATGTGAAGCTCCAGAGACTGAAATCAACAAAACAGATGAGAATTTTAGAGGTAAAGTTTGACTTGACTATCCAACAAAGAAAAGATCTCTTTGGTGAAGTAGCAAAAGTATGACCATAGAAAAGTTTAATCACAGACTAAAGGTAGAAAGTTGGATTACTAATTAGAGTAGTCTTTTTCATCCTCTCTCAGGTCCCAGACTCTGCAAATCCATCAATGTGATTAAGTATCCCAATAAAAGTGTAAATAAATATACCTAGATTTTTGTCTGCAAGATCACAGTGTTTATGGAGTCCCTGGAAACCCATTTGACCCCAGGTTCTTTATTTCTAAGAAAATATGAAGATGTGGTTTAGTTCCAGAGTAGTTTTTTCTTTTTTTTTTAATCTTTCTGTCATTTTAAGCAACATAACTTAGATGCACCTTCTTTAAGAAGGTCTTGTACTAGGGCATTCATATTTGTGAAACTTCTTAGGAGTTCACTTGATTATGACCTGAACATTTATAGAATGAGTATAGGTCTCCATTATATTTCACTATCATAGACAACCTGAATTTTCTTAGATATTATTGTTTCTAAAGGCAGTGATTCCCAAGGTCTCTTATTCTTTCAAACACCCTAGTTTCTTAAATGGAGCTTAAAATTATCAATTTTATCAGGCGTAATTTTTTACCTAACAGGAATCTTGAGGCTCTGTATTCTCTTCAGCTTACATATGTGGAAACTATTAGCTACACATATTAAAGGTATACATGTCTTAATAGAGATGGGATGAATTTCACCCATCACCCAATAATCTCATTTTATTAAATTATACTATCTTGTCTCAAATCTTACTGAGATATATTTAGTTCATCGACAAAATAATTCCTTTGCCTAACCTAATAACTTAATTAAAGAACAATAAGATAAAATAAAGGAGGAAGAGGTAACTAATACAGATAAAAGCTGGAATCAAAGAAACTGAAAAACAAAAAAACAAAAAAAAAGAAAAAAAGGAGAAAGAAATCCCAAGAGATCATTCTTTGCATTCTTTGAAAATAGCAAAATCCTTTTTCACACTGATTGTTAAAGGAAAAAGAGAGCAAAAATATATGCTTAAGTTTGAGAGAGAAGACCAACCAGAGACACAAGGTAAATTATAAGATGATACTACTGTAATTCTGTGGCAACATGTGAAACCTAGATAAATGAATGATGTCCTAGCAAAATATAAATTATTAAAATTGACTCAATAATTATAAAACTTTAATAGGTTATTACCATAAAAGAGATTAGAAAGGTAACTAAAGTACATAGAAGAATGTACAGTGATCAGATTTGCAATTGTTATCTAACTTTTATAAAGAATAGGAAAGGGACTTCCCTGGTGGTGCAATGCTTAAGAATCCGCCTGCTAATGCAGGGGATGTGGGTTCGATCCCTGGTCTGGGAAGATCCCACATGCCGCGGAGCAACTAAACCCATGTGCCACAACTACTGAGCCTGCGCTGTAGAGCCCGCGAGCCACAACTACTGAGTTGGCATGCCACAACTACTGAAGCCCACGTGCCTAGAGCCTGTGCTCTGCCACCACACTGAAAAGCCTGCACACTGCCATGAAGAGTAGCCCCCACCTGCCGCAACTAGAGAAAGCCTGCGCACAAAGCAAAGAAGCAAAGAAGACCCAACGCAGCCAAAAATAAATAAATTAATTAAAAGAAAATAGGAAAGAGCGTTGCCTTTTATGCTAGTCCTGACCATGGTAAATAAAGAAAGCTCTTAAAATTCATTTTATATTGAATCCAGCATTAATACCTAATTCTGCTAGAGATAGTATAAAAGGAAAAAGAGAAAAAGTCCAACCTCACTGAAGTATATAAATGCAGAATTCAAAATGCAATACTAGCATATCTAATTCACCCTTCATTTAGTTAAAAGGATAATAAAAGAATAATACCTATGCCCTAATAGGGTTTAATTCAAGAATACAAGGATGGCTCCATATCAGATAGTCAATCAATGATAGGTTGATAAGCATCACAATGATCAGCTAGCTGTTCTTATTAAAATCTCTAAGTTAAATGGAAATATAAGTCAACTACTTAAACGTAAAATATCCTATTAACCAAGGACAAATAGCAGTTATTTTCTCAAAAGGTGAAATACTATAACAATCTAGTCAAAAATCAGGTTGTAAATATGGATTAACTTCTATATATATTTTAATCAGTATTTTTGGAAGGTCTGGCAGATGTAATTAAAAAACTAAAGAAAGGTTAAAATAGTCTTTTTTTTAATAATGATTTGACTGAATACTTAAAAACCCAAAAGGACTTGTAAAATTAATAAGATGATACAAAATGGTTAGATAAAAATTTAAAAATCTACTCAAGTAGTAAATACCTAGAAAGGGAAGTGGGAAAAAAGTATTCCATTCTTAAAAGCACCTAAAACTTTATAAAATAGTTATAAATTTAGCAAGAAAGACACATTTCCAAATAAAAATAAACCTATATAATTCTATTGAAGGACGTAAAAGACCTGAACAAAAGAGAAAGCATATGTGTTTGGGGGTAAAACAAATTACTATTATAAAAGAAGGCCAGTTCTCCCCAAATTCATATATGTATTTATTGTAATTCCAGGAAGTATATTAATTGATTTCACCTTAACTGATGTGTGTTTTTTTTAACTTAGGTAATATAATGTTGAGTAGATATGGGGGGAAGAGTGACAAGGTCTTTTGGGAAAAAGAAAAAATTGAGAGGAAACTTGCCTTACCAGATGTCAGATCACACTATAAAGTCACTGTAGTGAAATCAATATTATACTGGCATAAGAATAGGCAAGTAGGTTAGTGGAGCAGAGAATCTAGATATAGATTCTACTACATAAAAGAATTTAATAGAAGATAAAGGTGTTTTAATTCATTGAGAAAATAGTGCATTATTAAATAAATGGTGTTGGTACAATGCATATCAAACTTGAAGAAAATAAAATGGACCCCTATTTTAAATCAGATTCAAAAGTAATTTCCAGATAGAGTAAAAATGTATGAAAAAATTGAAAATAAAAGTCCTATTAGAAAATTGAGGAGATTATATATACAATCTAAAGGTAAGAAACTGTCTTAGTTGAGACTTGAAATCATAAATCTATAAAAATAAATAACAGAAATATCTATTTATATAAAAATTTAAAAAATATATGGCAAAAATCGTATGGTAAAATTTCCAAACAGTTAACTTAGAGAAGATATATTAGTAATATGGAGGATAGGAAAAGGAATGATATTATAGAAGAGGAAAAATACATTTTTTCTAAGTTCTCAACTGGGATCCCTGTAACAAAAGGCAGATTAATAAGAGAAAAGCATATAAATTTATTTAAGTTTTACATGACTCATGAGACTTCATGAGGAAATGAAGACCCAAAGATAACAGTAAAACTGGAGCATTTTTATATTAGATTTGATGAAGAGTGGAAAGTTACAGAAAAATATGATAGGACAAAGGGTATGAGCTAATGATAGTAATGTGGGCAAAATTTAGCAAGTCCCATTTATTTAGATTCCTCTCGTCCCTTCATTTTCAGAGATAAGGAAGCTTTTTTGGGTTTAGGCAGGCATCTCTCACATGAAGAGCTTATGACCTACATGTGCCATTTCTCAAATTCCTTCAGTTTAAAAATATTCACTATGCCAAGTTGCCATATTTTGAGGTAGCTTTTCCTGAACCCCATCAATATTTATCATATAGGAAGAGTTCTCTCAAACTTGATAAGACAACAAATTCCAATTTGACAAGTGGGTAAAGGATAGAAGGGTCAATAATAGAAGATCAATGTGTGAAAAGACGCTCCACATAAGTAGCAGTGAGGGGGAAAATGAAATTAAAATAATAATGGTGTAATACTTTTTACTTATCAAACTGGGAAGACGTAACAGTTTTGAAAGTGAGCACATGGGGGAAATGATACTTATTTTTCATGGATATCTTTTAATGTTAAAAAAATTGTATATGCATTGTTTGTATATACAATCATGGAGAACTTGAGAAAGAAGGAATTAATGGTGGGGGGAAGTATGGAGAAAGGGAAACCAATGGTTAAAAGAAACAAACCTAGGGCTTCCCTGGTTGCGCAGTGCTTGAGAGTCCGCCTGCCGATGTGGGGGACGCGGGTTCGTGCCCCAGTCTGGGGGGGTCCCACGTGCCGCGGAGCTGCTGGGCCCGTGAGCCATGGCCATTGGGCCTGCGTGTCTGGAGCCTGTGCTCCACAGTGGGAAAGGCTGCAGCGGTGAGAGGCCCGCGTACCGCAAA